TGTTACCCGGGGGGGTTAATACCTGCTAGCGGTTCGTGGGTGGAGAAGAAAATTCGGGGGGTCTAAGAAAAGCAGTGAATTCGGGGATCTAAGAAAAGCGCCGATTTCAATTTGAGCTACTGTAACGAAAACGAAAATAAACCAAAATCAAGGAAAACGAAAAAGCTTTTAATGTTTGTTTTGCTGAAAAAGAATGTTTTGTTTTGCCGGAAAGTTCCTGGAAAGTTTCGAAGGAAATTGTTTTGCTGAAATAGCTTTTAATGTTACATTTCCTGAAAAATGTAAGGAAATAAAAATTATTCATTATAAATATATTTGGTATTTGGTGAAACCAAAATAACTTGGGTTGGATAGGGATGGGGGGAAAACATAATTGTACAATATTTAGAATGTATTTCGAAATCGTAGAAGAATTATTTAATTTACAGTCAATAGAAACTAAAACATTAACATACCATATTAAAATTTCAATATATCAGGAATCCACTTGGGTCTAGACGAGAATCACGTTAACAAACAGGTTCCTTTTCGGTTTATAGCTCAAAAAGTTTCCTAATCGGCTACCGCTATCCATTAAAGTTGACAAGTCTATCTTGTATTTGTATGATAAAAATTAAATATGCTTTGTTTAATAATGATATCTTGATATTCACGTCTTTTTGTTTTAATTATTTAGAGGTCTTATATATTAACTAATATAATAATGGTATCAGATGTTTCACATATGTTTTTATGTAAGTTATTTGCAGATAGTATACATGATATTTTTGTCACTAGCTATTATACATAATATAATTCCAGTATAATAGTGATATATTCCATTTATACATATGGTTGTTTACCCGTAAAACAGTACAACTAAATTTATACGTGGTTTATAGACAAGTGAATTAATTTGATCGTAAAATAATGATGAATTAGACAAAAATGTAATACTTAACCTTGAAATTGAAATGATACAACATATATATTGATCCCAGGTGCAGAGCTTCCGGGGCAGTAAGAACAGTATAGATAAGTAAAAAAGTAAAATGTTATTGATCTTTTGATAGAATATGTTGTATGCTTGACAGAAAGTTCGTGTCCTTTACAATGATAATATAGCTCACTATTTATAGCTGCACCTAGGGAACAAGGTCCTAGGATCAAACCCTCTTTAATGACAATTATGAGAGCCATTGAAGAATGTGTAACGGCAGGCAGTGAATGCAACATTCCTTGTAACGGGCCATGTACTTAATGTTGTAGAATATTCTTCATTAAATGCTACCGGGTGGCAGGCATTTATTTCATCTTTATGAATATCATTCTTTCTGGTAACAGACGGGATCGTTGCCTCCGGATTCAACTACCTTCTGTTTTCGGCTCCACGTATCACTTTCTCATGCGATCATTTAATATAAACATATTTTACCCTATACAAAATAGTCCCCCCGCTTTACAGTGGCATAACTTTGTGTCACCGAAAAATTGGTAGAAATACCCCTTTTGGCTGGAAATTCTCTGAGCCCCTCTAAAAAGTTTCTGACGGTTGATTAGACGCATGTCTCTCCTCATTTAATGCCCCGAGCACGCGTCATCCCATGATTTAGCATCACTTTTGCCGGTTATCGAGGTAATTATGGCCACAATTTAGCCGCCTATTTCTTTACTTATACGCATCAACCTCCTTCATTTACACTTCATAATTCTCTAAACTTTCTCAAACTTTCTTTACTCAACTCATACTTTGTCTTTAACCTTTCTTTAACTTTCTTCTTTGAGAGAAAAATATTCCCTCCTTTCTGATAAAAAATGGCTTCTTCTTTCAGAAACCCTAGTTCTTCAGAGAATAAAGGTAAAGTTGATGATGCTGCTCCTCCTACAGTAAAATCTATCATCCAAAGCCTGTTGATATTCTGGGGTCTATTCGAAGTTGTTCTTTTTTTTGAGTAACGAGAAGAAATGATGGCATTTCTCCAAAGACCTGAAAATGAACCCGCTCAAAGCGGCCAATATCCCAGTAGGCATTTGAACCTCTTTTGCACTTGATATCTTGTCTGGGATGTATTTGATGGCTTTGATTTTATTGGGGTTAACCTCAATCCCCCTTTGTGACACAGGAATCCCAAGAACTTGCCGGAGATGCACACTTATTGGGGTTAAGCTTTATGTTATGCTTCCTTAGGATATCAAAAGTTTATTGCAAGTGTTTAAGATGATCACCTGCGTTCAAAGACTTAACAAGCATATCGTCTATGTAAACTTCCATGGTTTTCCCTATTTGCTTTCATTATTTAGCCTGAAGGGCATCATATTATAACAATATGTGCCGAAAGTTGTTATGAACAAAGTTTTTTCCTGATACTCCGGGTTCATCTTAATTTGGTTCCCGGAGTAAGCATCGATAAAACTCATTAACATATGCCCGGTCGTTGCATCAATCATTTGATCAATGGCAATGGGAACGAGCCCCTTGGGCACGCCTTATTTAAGTCCTTATAGTCTACGCACATGCGAAATTTATTCTTCTTCTTTGGAACTACTACTATATTAGCTTATCAGTCTGGATACTTTACCTCTCGAATTGAACCGATATCAAGCAGGCAAGTTACCTCTTCTTTGATAAATTTATTTCTGGCCTCGGCAATATGACGTTTTTTCTGTCTTACCGGAGGAATGCTGGGATCCAAGCTTAGCTTGTGTACAACCACTTCCGCCGAGGTACCTGTCATATCCGCATGCGACCACACAAAATAATAGATGTTAAATTTAAGAAATTCAATAAATCCAAACCTGAGTTCGGGGTACAGCCCTATCCCCAAGTGGAATTTCTTCTCCAAGAACTTTTTGAATAATGCGACTTCCTCAAGCTCTTCCGCTGTAGATTTCGTTGCGTCCATCTCTTCTGGTATCTGGAAATGCCTTGGCACTTGATGAGATTATGATGCCTCTTCCCCCTGGTTGATTTTGCTTGACTCAGGAACAAGCGCTAATTCCTGTAATTGCTATGCCGCATGCTCCTTCCCTTTGACATTAGAGACCGAAATTGCATTTATCTCCCTTGCCGTCGGTTGGTCACCTCTTATTTGTTTAATTCCTTTGGGAGATGGGAATTTCATCAACTAGTGCTATGTTGATGGCACAACTTTCATCTTGTGCAACCATGGTCTATCTAAGATAATATTGTAGCCCAAATCACCATCCACCACCTCGAAAAAGGTCGTCTTCATCACCCCTTCGGCTTTCGTAGGCAACATGATCTCTTCCTCAGATTGTCACGCTTGCTAGGTTAAACCCGGTAAGGAGTTTTGTGGACGGAATGATGCTTTCGGTGAGCTTGGCTTGCTACAATACCCTCCATTGTATAATATTTACTGAACTTCCTGGATCCACCAGAAATGCTTAATTTTAAAATATAATACATTTAAAGAGATTACCAATGCGTCGGTGTGCGGTAGAAACAATCCATCTGCGTCTTCATCTGTAAAAGTAATGTCGTCTTCAGTGACTTCCCGGAGCCTCTTGTTGTGGGTTACTACCTTCGTCTTTTTCGCCACCGAGAATGTAACCATGTTAATCTCGTTCCCCCCAAAAGTCATGTTGATCATCAGGCGCGGGGGGTCTTCTCCTGCTATTGAGGGCTTCACGTGATTGCGATCGTAATTGTTTTTAGCCCGGTCACTGCCATTTTTCAGCAGTGTCACCACCTCCTTGCGCAGATGCCAGCAAACCCCGGTCTGGTGATCGTTTGTCCCGTGGTATTCGCACCACAAATTAGGATCCCTCTAGCTGGGATCACATCTCATTGGATTTGGGAACTGTGCTTCTTTAATATTCCTCATAGCCGACACCAACTCCACTACACTGACGTTGAAGTTATATTTTGAAAGTCTGGGGTAGGAAGAATCTCGAGAACCTGTTTCCTTGTCCAGTAACGACCAATTGTTCTGGCCGCAATCAGTTTTCCTATCGGTAATGAACCTATTTGCCGACCGAAAACCTATGCCGCATCCTTCGGCCCGTTCATAGGGCAAAAATCGTCTCCTCAAGGATCATCGATCTGTGTCGAAATCGTCTTTTGATTTCTCTTTATTCTTCTCCTGGTACCAACCCTTAACCGACACTAGGAAACCGAGCTGATCATCCTCAATCACTATCTTTGACTCGTACCGGTTATGAACATCCACCCAAATTGTCGCTTGGAACTCGAGAAAACTTTCTTTCAACTTCCGAGAAGCATCATAACTTCTCGGATTCAGACCCTTGGTGAATGCTTCAGCCACCCATTCATCCTGAATGACCAGTAGCAACATCCTTTCCTTTTGGAACCTAGTTACAAACTCCCACAGCAACTCAAACTCTCACTGTGCAATCCTGAATATATCGGCCTTTCGGGCATGTACCTTTCTGGCCCGGCATGGGCCTTAATGAAAGCATCCGCGAGTATCTCGAAGGAGTCTATGGAATGCTCGGGCAAAAGTGAATACCACGTCAAGGCTCTCTTTCGTGAGAATCTCCCTGAAGTTCTTCCGCATAACTGACTCAATCTCGTGGGGAGCTAAATCGTTCCCCTTCACCATTATTGTATAGGTGGTGATATGCTCCTAAGGATCTGAAGTCCCATTATATTTCGGTACGTCTGGCATTTTAAGCCGCTTCGGGATTAATTCTAATGCAGCGCTTGGTTTGTACGGCAATTGAGTGTACTTCTTTGAGTTTGGCCGTTTCAGCACTGGTGTTGTTCCCGAAATTTGATCTATGCGGGCGTTCTCTTCCCTCATAAACCATATGAGTTCGTTTTTGAAGGGATCCTTCTCGTTGTTGCGACGGAATCCACTCCCCCAGCCCCATCGAAGCCGACCTTGCCCCTCGGGGTGTTGTTGTCGACCCTCTGCATTGCTTGATTTACGGGAGCACCAGGAGGAATTGGACCTCGTCCATTCGCGTTATTGGAAACACCTGATAACGCATGCTTCAGCTCTTTCATAACCTTATCGTGACGTGTGAGATGGCCTAAAATGGCATCCTATTGCTCCTGCAAGACCCTTACAGCTTCGACGACGTGCTCTTCTTCAGCATCATCAAGAGTCGCCTCTCAGACATGTCGCGGGTATCATCTGTCGTGGACCGGCGTGGCCTCGTTCCCCTCACTACGAGTATCACTAATCGAATCCTCGTGCTGAAGTTGATTTCCTTGGGCCTCAAGGTTGTGTGTGTTGTTAACATCATTATCTGCCATTTTCTATGATTTTTTGCTAAGAACAAATAATCAAACGTGTTAGTAAAAGAGGCAATGACCAACTTAATTACATAATTGTCTAAGCCCCACGGTGGGTGCCAAACTGTTTACCCGTAAAAAGGTACCGTTGAATTTGTACGTAGTTTATAGACAAGTGAATTAATTTGATCCTAAAATAATAGATGAATTAGACAAAAATGTAAGATTTAGCCTTGAAATTGAAATGATACAACAGATATATTGATCCCGGGTGCAGAGTTTCCATGGGCAGTAAGAACAGTATAGATAAGCAAAAAAATAAAATATTATTGATCTTTTGATAGAATATATTGTATGCTTGACAGAAAGTTTGTGTACTTTACAATGATAATAGAGTTCACTATTTATAGATGTACCTAGGAAAATGTCCTAGGATCAAGCCCCTCTTTAATGACAATTATGAGGGTCATTGAAGAATGTGTCAGTGAATGTCACTTTCCTTGTAACGGGCCGTGTACTTAATGCTATAGAATATTTCTTATTAAATGCTACCGGGTAGCATGCATTTATTTCATCTTTATGAATATCATTATTTCTGGTAACAGACGGGATCGTTGCCTCCGGATTCAACTATCTTCTGTCTTCGGTCACTTTCTCATGCAATCATTTAGTATAAACATATTTTACCCTATACAACGGTATAATAACAAATTATTCTATTTATACGTATGGTATAATAAATTTTAGAAATATATATATGATAATTCTATAGTAAAAACCATGTATAATTAATAATATTGTATAATCATAGAATAAATCAGTTATGTGATTTGCAATTTCAGCGGCTTCTCACATGAAAAAAAATATATCAAACAACCCTTAAATAAGAGTGCATAATTCGCAAAATAGAAAACATTTTTAAAAATAAATAGAAAGTCTTAATACACATCAAATTGGTTGTGTGTGTGGTGGTGATTGGGTGTGTGGATGGGGGTAAGTAACAGATGGGAGACGATTTTGGGAAAGAGAAAGGGTTTTTGAAGCTCCTATTTTTTCATACTAGCATTTAATAAAGTAGTTAACTGACCTTAATCTATGCTTTAGTATTTGGCGACAGACCTGATGTCTAAAGGTTTCAAGTTGAGAATACTTGGATTGTAAGTTCAGTGTTGGAACGCATGAAGCTGAAGTGGACGTGAAGCTTGATACACAGGTCATCCCCAAGAGAGATAGTTTCAAATATCTTGGGTCTATAATACAGAGTAACTGGGAGATTGACGAGAATGTCACACATCGTATAGGTACGGGGTGGTTGAAATGGAGGCTCGCTTCTGGTGTTTTGTATGACAAGAATGTGCCACCTACACTTAAGGGCAAGTTCTACAAAGCAGTAGTTAGACCGACCATATTGTATGGGGTCGAGTGTTGTCCAGTCAAGAAATCTCATGCTCAGAAGATGAAAGTAACAGAAATGAGGATGTTGAGATTGATGTGTGAGCATACCAGAAAAGACAAGACTAGGAATGAATATATTAGGGACAAAGTGGGTGTGGCTCATGTAGAAGATAAGTTACGGGAATCGAGGCTGAGATGATTCGGTCATGTGAAGAGGAAAGACTCTGATGCCCCCGTTAGGAGGTGCGAGAGGTTGCCCAGGGGTAAAGAGAGGCCTAAGAAGTACTGGAGTGAGGTGATTAGGTAGGACATGACTCTGCTCCAGCTTACCGAGGACATGACACTCGATAGAAAAGTGTGGAGGTCGAGAATTAGGGTGGTGAGTTGATAAATATTCTAGAGTTTCGCCTTGTCTTACTACTAGTAGCAGTAGTACTAGTCGGGTTTTTTTTCCTATTTCTACTCCCTTGTTTTTATACGGTGTATAATTATTAACAGTAGGATTTGCTCTATTCTTGTAGTTTCGTATCCCTAGATCTCTGTCATTACTCGTTGTTTTATTTCTTTCCATTGTCTCATTACCTTGTTGTGACCATTGTTTCCTTATTGCTTCATTTTTAATGTTCTTGAGCCGAGGGTCTTTCAGAAACAGTCTCTCTACCTTCATAAAGTAGAGATAAAGGTCTTTGTACACACTACCCTCCCCAAACCCTACTTATGGAATTTCACTAGGTTTGTTTTTCATTTTTGTTATAAAGGTAAATAAATTTGTTACTTTTGAAAAAAACCAAGAGTTATGTTGTTCAGATGAAAGAAAAAACGGCAAATGGCCAAATATACCCCTCTACTTTCGAAAATAGTCTAAAAATACCCCTCGTTATACTATTGGATTATCTATACCCCTGCAGTCATACTTTGGGTTCAAATATAACCCTCATTTAAACGGAGGGACACGTGTCATCGTCTTGTTGGTCAATTCTAAATATCTCCTAATTAATTAAAAAGACCCATTATCCATACCCGAAAAATATTTTTTTTTGTAAAAACTGAAAAAAACTAAAAAAATATTTTTACTAAAAATTGAAAAAAAGAAAATATTTTTTTTTTCCAGTTTTTTAAAAAAACTGCTTTTAAAAAAATTGAAAATATTTTCTAAAATAATATTTTTGTAAAAACTGAAAAAAACTAAAAAGTAATTTTCTAAAGCAATTAAAAACTGAAAAAAACTGAAATATTTTAAACTAAAAACTGAAAAAAAAAAAGAAGAAAATATTTGTTTTTTCAGTTTTTACAAAAACGCTGCTTTAGAAATTTGCTTTTTAGTTTTTTTTTTAGTTTTTACAAAAATATTATTTTAGAAAATATTTTTCAGCTTTTTTTAAAGCAGTTTTTTATTTTCATTTTTTTTAATTTTTAGTAAAAAAATAATTTAGTTTTTACAAAAAAAAATTGCTTTAGAAAATTAATTTTTAGTTTTTTTTTTCCAGCTTTTTCAAAAATATTGTTTTAGAAAATATTTTTCAGTTTTTTCTAAAGCAGTTTTTTTGTAAAAACTGAAAAAAAATATTTTCGTTTGTTTCAATTTTTAGTAAAAATAATTTCAATTTTTTCCAATTTTTTTAAAAAATATTGCTTTAAAAAATTATTTTTCGGGATATGATTAATGAGTCTTTTTAATTAATTAGAAGATATTTAGAATTGACCAACATGACGATGACACGTGTCCCTCCGTTTAAATGAGGGATATATTTGAACCCAAAGTATGACTGCAGGGGTATAGATAACCCAATAGTATAACGAGTGATATTCTTAGATCATTTTCGAAAGTAGGGTGGTATATTTGGCCCTTTGCCGAAGAAAAAAAAAGAAGAGAGTTATGTTGTTTATATATAAAGATTTTAGAATTTTGACCTGCCTGTAAAAGTTCTCAAAGTTATATTAGGCCCGTGTATTTCAAACTGAAGAGCCCAAATTCCTTCTGGCGGGTCCGATGGAGAACAAATGCAAAAACCCAAATTTGTAACTTAAAAAATTGCGCCAGCTTTCCTCTGCTCCGAGCTTGCGAAATCGAGAGTATGTGCCCTCTTCGTCTTTTAATATAGAAAATCTCAACTCCAATTACTACAGTTCTTAGTGATTCTTTTCAAGAATATTCGTTCTTATTTGCTGGTCATCCTGATAATTAAGGGAGTTTTTGTTTTTGTCTACATAAATATCAGATTGTCGAAGAGGGAACTGAATTTATATAGCACTTACAATTGTTAGTATATGATATTTATGTTGCAGGAACGGGGCAATGAAAGTGAAAATACTGCGTATCCTTTTGATTGTTTTTCTTATATACCGTGACACGTGTCCAATAATCACATAGTGGTTTGAATCTGATCTACCATTGCTTTCATTCCACTTCATTGACGGCTAGGTCACACCAGTAGGTGCTTTATGTTTGTTGCCAATTACTAGAATTAGCTGGGTTAAAATTTAGCCAACTACTTCAATTATGGCCTGTCGGTAATTTTTTTCATTAATTAGGATTTTATAACAAGTGCATTTTATAATCCCAACTATTAGCTGATCATACTGGCATGAAAGCACATATTCAGTCAAATCCTCAGTAATATTGGGAAATTGTAGATTCTAACTTGTTTAAGTAGATTACCAAATTGCTTAGTGATTGACAAATAAGCATTGACAATGAACCTTCATTGTATTGCCAAATTAGTTTAACTTCAGGAACCATTTCCATGTATTGGCTCTCATGGCGACTTCACAAGTTTAATTTCTAAGAGAAAAGGTGCACATAAATGCTTAAGTTTGAAATGAGCTAAAGTCTTTATTTTCGTGACATTTTATATGCCATGGGAATTTTCACGTTTCTTGTTCGTATGCGTTGGAAACTCTACTTCTTATTGTGCTAACCCAATCGTTAGAGTAGCTTTATACTGCATGTTGATTACATGCTTTGATGGAAGGACTTTTCTTGTATTGTTTCTTTGCTTTTGACTTCATCACGAGATTTCCTTGACCTATTATTTCGGGGTGCTTCGCTGGAATCATGAATAGAGTATGTCCTCTTCATGGCATTTGATTTTACTAGTCTCAAATGTCTTGCTACATGTGTAGCTTGCTCTATCTCACCTTTTTACTTCCTTATGTATTGCAGATGGCACGCTGTTGCTTCATGGACATGGGATGCTCAGGATGAAACTTGCGGGATATGTAGGATGGCTTTTGATGGTTGCTGTCCTGATTGTAAACTCCCTGGGGATGATTGCCCGCTAAGTAAGCAGATCTATCTCTATATTACAGCTAAACTTTGGGATGAAAACTATAGATTCTGTATTGGGCTTAATTTGTTGTGCGTTCTATGTGTCAGTTTTTGTTTGTATACTAATGTGTACTCTCATCTTTGAAATATAATGCTGTAAGTAATTACATAAGAAAATTAGTCATCAGGAATAGTTCGGGCCACATTTGATAGTAAACATTGTATTTGAACCTCATAATTAAGTGTGGCTACAAGTATGCTTGACTGTTTTCGCGAGAATGACTTCTTGTAAATTCACGACGTGTTGAGTTGAGGCGAACACCGTCTCTAATTTAGTCTCAGAGGTTTAGATTTTTTATTTTTCTTTTTTGATTGTTACTCTCTGAGGTGTAGATAATTCTAGGTTTATCCCTTTTCCTTTTAGGATAATTAGTCCCTGAGGTTTAGATATTCTTAGATCAGTATAATCATAAGGATAAGGTCAGCTATCAAGTTTTCCTTGAGAATATCCAATAAGATTTATGGTAACACTTCATTCAGGCTCACTACACCAACACAGTTTTTCCTGTCACTGCCCTGCAGAACAGGACGCTCGTATTTAGTTATAATCAATGTTATTTGGTGTAATGAGAGTCTACTTGTTTGAAAATGCTATTATACATTACCATTTCAAAATGCTTCCATTCACTGCTTAATAGTGATATTCCCTACTTTTTTATTGCTATCTATATTGAGTCCTTTTAATCAACCAATAAATTCGGTAAAGAACTAAAACGAGGAAACTATTATTCAGTTACTCACTGTAGTTACTAGCTTTCTTAAAAGTAAGTCACTGCATTGCTAACTCCCTTCTGGATTGGTGAACCACCGTAGTTTTAAGCTAATGTATCCCCAAGCGCCTCGTTGTCGATAAGCACCAAGGTGCTGATAAGTGATAAGTATAGCTTTAAGCTCCTTGGTCGGCCTTGAAAGTTCAGAAGAACTAATATGTTGTGCTTCATGGGGCCTTTAAGCCGTATATGACCATAGTGGGCTTTAGGCATCAAACATGGACTTTTATCTTTTTAAAACCTTAAAATGTTTGGTCATGTTAACTTAGACAATTGATTATCCGTTTTGCATTTTCGAATTTTCGACGTTCTAGCTAACAAATGGTTAGTAACTTTTTCCTAAAAGGTGTAATCATTTGCAGTCAAAAGATTGGATTTCCAATTAAAGACGTCTCCCCTGAGGAGAAAAACAATGATTAATCTGATAAGATCATTTCATGAAGTGAGAATAGTTAGTGTTATGAATCAAAATTATATCTAAGAGCTTTTTGCTTCCAACTCAGATGCTGTCTTGGATAGTCAACGCGTAAGAGACACATCTAAGATGATTTTACTTGTCTAGAATTTCCTCCACTTGCATTAGCTATGTTTTTGGCATGTCTTATATGTGCAAAAAGATTGAATCCTTTCTAGACAGTGCTGTTCCCCTTTAGAATGCATGATATACGTACACATCAGAATTTTTAAAACTTTTCAAATGATGGTCTAAATTGAGAAAGAAGAGGCTATATAAGATAAGGTATTAATATAGCGATGATAATGGAGGAATAGCTTAATGGTAAGAACCTTCCACCTCCAATAATAAAGTTGGGTTCTAGTCACCGAGTGAGCAAGGGTGGAAAAGACCATTGTTGGATTCCAGGGTAAAGGGGATTGAACATGAGGTTTTACCACACCAAAAAAGAATTTTTAATATAAAGATGTGGTGTAACATGTTTTAAAAAAGTGTTGGTCGAATGTAGTAAATGTTACAATGCTTAAGCAATTAGGGACTGATAATTTACTTGCCATTTTATGTCAATGACCTATTCATGTGTTCCGGTGCCACATAATGTAGGTCCTTTCAGCCGTTGACTGTGTTTTGCCTTGTGTAATGCCTTTTGTGCTGACTCATACTTTAGAAATGAGATTAAGTGGGCGTTTGGACATAAGAATTGTGAAATTCCGGAAAAAAGTAAAAAGAAAAAATTCAAGTTGAAAATGATATTTGAAAATTAGAGTTGTGTTTGGACTTGAATACAATTTGGAGCTGTTTTTGAATTTTTGTGAGTACTTTAAAGTGAATTTCGAAAAACAACTTTTTGGAGTTTTTCAAATTTCTTTCCGAAATTCAACTTCAAGTGAAATCTGAATTTTTTATGGCCAAACACTGATTCCGAAAAAAGTAAAAAATTTTCGAAAAGAAGGAATCTTTTTTATGGCCAAACGGGCCCCAAGAGTTATCATCTTTTCATTCTTCTACTTAATTGTTCTTTTGTGAGGCATTTCTTCCTAGCTAGTTTAAAGTTTTCTCTGCTTTGCTTTCCTAAATGACTTAAGAGTAAGATACTTCATAAAAAGGAGAGCTTTAGAGTAAGATATTTAGCGGTTGTCGCTCTATTTCAGATATAGGAACGAGGCCACGTACCTATCCCAATTCTTTGGTATTTTGCAGAAACAAATGCTACTAGAAAAAAGATTGAAACAGCATTTTGGTTTCATTTCCTATTTCTTTATTTACTCATTTATTTATGCTTAATCGAATTTCTGATCTTTTATCCTATTTATATTTTATGATCTATACACTTGCATCATGCTTCCAGCAGTGGAGTTCTGTTAATACCTTGTCTTGAGTCTTGACAGCTAGAACTCGAATAGTTACACTATCCCTTCCACTCCAGTGTGACTTTTAGGGTGATGTTGCATTTTATTACATGTGAATTAAGCGCCAGTTATGATTTGACTGTTATACCAGCTAGAGTTGCCCAAAATCACTTTGGATCCTAGCTCAAGTCTTGCCTACAGACATTTGCCTTATACTGGAAGCCAAAAGCATACATGACCAAGAAATTTGAGACCTTTTTAAGATCCTCCCTAGCCAAAAGCATAGATTACCAAGAAATATATAGATATCCTTTTCTCTTTCTGAATTATCTGGAATGAATCTCCCATCCTACTATTGGAACAAACAATATAGTTGTAGTCATTATCCAAGTAAATCGTCCAGCTCTCTATTTCTAACAAATCAAATTAAGGGATACTTACTTGCGAATGTCACACAGTAAAAGGGTGAAGTTGAAATTAAATAGAATATAAGATCAGAAAAGATCAAAAAGGGAACAAATGTAAAGGCAAAACAAAAACACAAATGCAAGAATCACAAAGGGAATAAATGTAAAAGCACAAATGCAAGGATTTTTAGAAAGTATAAACCCCTAGTGCTATCCCAGCCCACAATCATCCCTCCCCTAATCTTTCCGGTCATTTTTTTTCTCCGGTTAACAAGTGAGCCCGGTCCTTCGGGTGCGCACAGGGTAAACCTTGCTCCTGTGTAATAGCCCGCAAACCACATAGGAGGGTAAACCACACTAGGCAAGCCCCGTGTGACCGGCTCGACCGAGGAGGTATGCAAGTGAGTTTCGAACCCTAGATCTCCTATTTGGAAGTCCCCTGCTCAACCAACTCGGCCACCTTCTTGCCTCCTAGAAAGCCTAACCCCCTGGCCTGGAGGTCTTCTTCCCTTTTTGCACCACTCTGCTTCCTCCCTTACCTTCCCAGCCCACTAGTGTTCTTTCCCCATCCCCCCAAATGCATGACACCACACTCCTTCCATCACGGTAATATTTGGTGTTTGGTTCAAGCTTATAGATTTCAGGGTAAAAAAAGGTCTTAGCTGGAGCCTTGCAATCTTCTTTCTCTCTCTCTCTCTCTGTGATTGGGGAGGATCTTAATCATACTTGCTTAACCACCATCCCCCATTAATCATCAGAACTGAAAAACTTATGTCACGACAACATTTAGTTTTTTGCGTGCCCAGGGCTTTCTAACAGTTCTTTGCTTGTGTAGTTCTAAAGTAATACCTTTGGTTCAGTGACTTACTACTACAACTTTAATTATTTGCTTGTTTTGCAGTCTGGGGTGCTTGCAACCATGCATTTCATCTTCATTGCATCCTGAAGTGGGTAAACTCACAAACTTCTCAGGCTCATTGCCCCATGTGTCGTCGAGAGTGGCAGTTTAAAGAATGAGGTCAAAATTGTTAGCACCTCTTTGGCTGTTTCTTTCCATTTTGCCCCTCAGCTCCTCACCGCAATTTCTCTTTAAAAAACGAGAAGAATTCCAGGTTTCTTCTGTTCTGTTTAGGTATTATGTTATCTATTATGTGATACTGCAACATTTTAGCAAGTATAGCTATATGCTTATTTGCACTTAACCGCCGAGTACCATTATTAGTTTTCTGGCCAGACATGGTTGACATATAAGAATGTGGGTGACTGTAAATTTAGTTCAGGATTCCATTACTTTTTTGCATTTTCTTTCTTCATTAAACTGTCTGAAACATACCATTCACATCCCCCCTGTGGTTATGACATGAGTAAGAGGCAAGTCATTTGGAAGTAGGTTGTCGGCCTGAACTATGTCTAAGATAGCCTCCTTGACGTTGTGAGAATGACTTCGACTGATATCCATGTGCAATGTCTTCGTAGTGGTTGCACGTATTGCATTTTTTTATTTTTAACCTAACAAAGGGAATATTTTATGAGGGAAGTCCTTTTGTCGTTTTAATTGTAACATGGCATTTAATTCTTTGATTGCACCGTTCTATTTTACAGGGAAAAATGCACATTACATCTCTGTAACTTTTATAGGTTGTTGCTTATTTCTTTGTAGCGCTCATATGAGTTCATAACTAGTGTATCTTAAAAGTTACCAAATTATGTCTTGAACAATTTTAAGCTTTGGTCATTTCTGAAAGAAGTTGCATTATTAGGGCTTTTTTCACTTTTAGCTTGCGTCAGAAACGATTTAAATATGATAGCCAAAAAAGTGTATAAAAGTTGTTTAATTTTTGTATATAACATACAAACTGTGTATATATACAAAAAATATATATTTTTCGGCTATTATTATGAGAGCAGTTATCAAGTGTCATTTTCCCGCATTATTACCACATTTTTAATTTTCGAGGCCCAGAAATTTTATATCAATCACCTGGTCTATTATGAGTACTCTGCACTTTATTAAAAACCCCAATATAATTGTATATACTTGACTTCCCTTTGGTGTTTCTTTTTGCCTCGGAAAACTTTTTCTGACCGAGATAGAACAGTTGTAATATATGTTGTGTAAATATTGTTGACTGATATAACCATATGAGAAAACACCGTTTGGTTCTCTGGCAATTGGAGTAATTAAGGGGAAAATCATTCAGAAAGTTGAATTAAGGGAAAAGATTAGTTGTTACAGGGAGATATGTCATGACCCGCCATATCATCATGCCATGTAGGTGCCATTTGACATATATTAATGCCATGTGAAAGCTTACATATGAAATAGACTAGTACATGTGGGAAGGTTCTAGAGAAATATGGATATTTCTCATGAAAGACCTCAGAACCCTATGGAATTGCTTGGAAAGTCCTTAGAAGATTCTAGCTATCTAGAATATTCTAGAGAAGGGACTTACTTGTAAATAATAAGGGCCTTGTGTAATAATTATTATTTACTCACTAGCCCCTATGAAACTAGTATATAAAGGGGGTTATTCATTTGTAACTCATCCAGCAAAATAATCAAATTCTCTACTATAAAAGCTTCCTTTGACAAATTTCTCTTATCTTTTTTATCTAACATTCCCTAAGCGATCTTTAGTGTAGTATTTTAGGCTGACTTGGCACAGCAAGGTCGTGACCGAGTTGTGTAAGATCGTAAGCAAGTTGTCAAGTGCCGCACGTGCGCTTAGTTCAAGACTAAGGACGTGACAGATAACCTGTAAATATTTAAAGTAAAAGAGGAGATAACGGTTTTTATTATCACATTTTGAAAGAAAGGAAAATTAGCAGCACTAATCAGTAAAACTCGGAATTTAGTTTTACACTGATAGATTTTGGAGAAAGGAAGGGAAGCCTGCAAGTGAAATTTTATGGGACACTTTGGTTAAATAAGTAAAAAGTTAATAAGGTGGTCAGTTTTTACCCTGTTATTTAAGCTATATCCAGTTTTTTTCAATTTTTTTTAACTTGTAGCTAGTTTTAGCCTCAGACAAAAGATTCCTCCTACGCTAAACCTTTCTGTTGCTAATTAATGGACAACCACAATCTTCAACAATAGAAACCTCAATTCAGTACTTCGTATTGTATGGACTCTTTGATATAAGTTTGAGCGGCCTTCAAAGTCTGAGTTTGAGATTTCTCCCAAGTCCAGCAGATAACATCTATACTAGTTTAGCTGTAGTTTACCTCTTCAATTCTTAGCTTCTGTTGTAACTTAGTGTCTATATATGGCAGTTCCTTCGTTATAGAATGTAATGTGAAAAGGTTTTTAAAAAAACTAATACAGTGAGTTGGCTCTTCAAATTTCGGTTTATTCTCTTTTTATATATATATATATCTCAGGTTTCAAGTTCGAAGGTCCAAGAATAGACGCTTCAAAATTTCTTCCAAGTCAGCCTCCAACTCAAACAAAAATCTCACAATCAGATTTCAGTTATCAACAACGCAATTTGAAATTCCAATCACAGATTCGTAAACAACCTGCAGTTGGAACCAAAATTTTAATTACCCAAACTCTTCAACCCTTAGGTCGTTCAATTTCACTCACATAAACACCAAATCAGACGAAGCTCGAACAATGAGACCAATTAGATTTTCAAAAATTTTAGATTCACAATGGCAAACCACTGACCCAACAAATGCTTGAACTTTGGCTTCGTATACGTCTGAAGTTTAGTCGCATATAAGGCTGGCAAGTGGGCCGGTCCTGGTCCGGGACCACGGGCCAAACAGCTAAACGGGCCAGGACCGTTTGGTCCTGTCTCGTGGGCCGGTCCTATGATTTGGGCCC